AGCCGGCCGGTGCCACCTCTCCCTGTCCCTCCGGGACAGGCGCCGACGGATGCGCTCGGTGTCTCAGAGCATCTTTTTGCAGAAGGAAAGTCTGGTGGGGTCGGCACCTCATCCCTGGGGTTTGCACCCTTGGGAAGGGCTCGGTGCTGCGGTAACAACCAGCTGGCACCGTGGGCCGGTACAGGGCTCCCGCTCCCCTGGGTGGCCTCGGGAGGGGAAAAAACTCACCGCTGCGTGGTGGGGTGTCCCGTCACACGCTCTTTCTGCCAGCTTAGGGCTTGCTGGGGTTGTTAGCTGTGTTCCCAGATGGAACACTTCATTAAGAGGGAACTGCAGCAGCTGTAAGGAAATACCGGTGATTCAAGAAGATGGGGCGTCAGTGCGCGGGTGCAGCTCTGCTGGTGACCGCGGGAGAGGAGGCTCGGTGCCGCCTGCACCCCGTGCAGGGCAGCGCGGGGCCGGAGACCCAGAGCCTGCCCCAGCCATCTGCTGCTCTGACTGCACACGAAGAGTTTTCTTCTCCAAGCTGAAGTTTTCCTTGCAGGAGTTCAGCAGACCTGGAGAGTACCGTATTCCTTTCCTCTTCACAAGCGTTTTTTTCCATGTTTGAAGGCTGTTATTATATCCCCTTCAGCCTTGTCTTCTCTAGACTAAACAACCCCTGCTCTTTCAAACTTTATTGGTAGGTCATGTTTTCTAGATGAGATTTTTTAGACAAATGGTTACTGCTGTCCTCTGAACTCACTGTGGTCAGGCTGGAGCGCTCCTGGCTTGCTCCCGCTGCGCCTTGCTGAGGTTTTGTGGCTCTGCGAGAGGGGCAGGATCATTTTGAGAGCTTTGAAAGACTCATCTGGGCCGAACCCATGCATCTGTGTAAATGTGAAGTTAAGCCTGGAGGTACCTTTGTGTTTCATGTTGGTTAGAAGTTGCATCCTTGACCTGATAACCTGCTCCAGCACTGTAAGAGCTGAGCAGAGCTCACAGTGCCTTCAGTGATGCTGTAACAGCACAGCCTTGCTCCTGAGTGAGCAGAAGAAACCCTCCGCTGCCACCGTGAGCAGATAAAACAAGCTCTCCCTGGCCACTCTGCTTGCTGGGTCACTTGCCAGCATGGCTCCTAGAAGAGGCTTGTGCACGTGCAGCCTGCCAGGTCTGCCTGGGAAGATGCATTGGGCCCTCAGCAAGGAGCATTTCCCACTCTGTCATATGGAGAAATGAAGCCGCTGGGTCTCGGGGTGGCTTTGCTGCAGTCTCCCGAGCACGGGCTCCGTCGTGCCCTGAGCGGTGGCGGTGTACCTGCTCCGTGCTGGATTCCTCTTACAGTCCACATTTTCCCAGCGATTCAAGGTCTTAAAATGTGTGTGCTTAATTACAATCAGGCCAGCTGAACGAACAGCCAGAAATGTCCCCTGGACCTAATAATCACTGATTAAACCTTCGCTCCGAGCGTGAGCCGTACGTGTATCGCAGGCTCCTCAGCTGAAATTGCTTCCCTCTGTGCTGACCAGCGCTTCGAAGAGGACAAGGCAAAGCAACACGGGGTCTGCTGGGGGTGCCTGCAACGGGCTGGAGACCCCCAGCCTGCATAAACTAAACCTGCGAAGCACTGGCTCTGCCTCTCCAGCAGCCTCTCCCCAGATGCTTTTCATTGTGGCTGCCGGCCGGGCCGGAGGGG